GCCATGCTGGCTGGGGGAAGGCAGAAAGTTGGAGTCTAAAAGCATTTTTCCAAGTCCTAGTTATAATACTAGCACATCTCCAAATCCTCTAAGGCCATTTTTAAGGCAGAGAGGGCGGCTTACAGAAGGCAAAATGGCCCCCTCTGTCTCTCTGAGTCGCTGTTTCCCACTTTGTCTTGATTCTAGTGTAAAAGCATCCGTGCTCTTGCAAGTCCAAAGTCTTGCCTACCGTGGATAAAGGTCAGCAGTAGCCAGTCAGGTGTCTGCAGAAAGCCCTGCAGAATGGCATGAGAAGCTAGTGCGGGTGTAGTGGTTAGACTGCTCAGCGGGGACTCAGACCATTAAGGTTCCCATTACCTCTGAGCCATAAGCCTCACTGGGTGACTGTGGGCCAGTCGCTTCAACTCAGTGCCACGCACCTCACTGGGTTGTTGCCAGGATGGAGCAGGAAAAGGGAGAGTCATGTACACCACCTTGGTCTCACAGGAGAAGAGGCAGGAGAGAAATGTAACTACAGTGGTGCCTCGCTTAACAATGTTCATTGGTTCCCAAAAAAACATCGCTATGGGAAAACATCGCTAAGCGAAACACCATTTCCCATAGGAATGCATTGAAAACCGGTTAATCCGTTCCAATGGGAACGGATTACCGTCCTTAAGCAAAAATGGCCATAGGAAACATCGCTAAGCGATACAATGTTTCCCCCATTGGAATGCATTGAAGCCTATTCAATGCATTCCAATGGTTTTGCAATGTCCTTTTTCGCTTTTTAAAAGTGTCTTACAATGTTCAAAAATGGTTTTAAATGCTTGGGATCGTTAGTGCACCTTGCAAAACCTATGCAAACTTAATTTGGCTTTGTTCTGAGTCTTCCTTAATTTTTGGTGAATTTTTTTCTCCCCCACTGGAATGCACTGAACTGTCGGTTTGACAGCTGTCAAACCTACAGTTCAATGCATTCCAATGGGGGAGAAAAAATTCACCAAAAATTAACGAAGACTCAGAACAAAGCCAAATTAAGTTTGCACAGGCTTTGCAAGGTGCACTAATGATCCCAAGCATTTTAAACCGTTTTTGAACATTTTAAGAAACATTTAAAATTGCAAAAATGGACATCGTTAAGCGAAACAGGGGAACCTAAACTGTCATCACTAAGCGAGGCAAGGACCCGAACATCGCTATGCGAAATTTCGCCATAGGAAACATCGCTAAACAGAGCGTAAAATTGCTCAAAAAAACCCATCGCTAAGCGAATACATCATTAAACAAGGCAATAGCTAAGCGAGGCACCACTGTAATGCTAAGTGAAGGGAAGAGTTCTTCCTTGTATCAAACTACAACTTGACTGTAACAGACCTGCTTATTTTGAATGGACTGACTTCAGGGTGCAATGCTAAAGGCACCTCTAAATTGCTGGGGCCAACATTTTTCAATGAGTCACGTGAAATCTTACAGACTATCAAATTCTATTTGGCATCAGCATTAACGGACGATAGTCCCCTTCTTCAGATGCACAAGTGTAGCTATAATAGGTAGATATCATGGGGAGGATACGTACGTACATACGTATTCATTCATTCATTTCAAAGCAAAGCATTTCACTTATGTACTGCCCCATAGCACTTAAAGCACTCTATGGGCAGTATACAATTTAATTATGCAGGCTACCCATTCCCTTCCCTTCCCCAGCAAGCTTACTCAATCTACCGACCTCAGAAGGATGGAAGGCTGAGTGAACCTTCAGCTGGCTACCTGGAAATGAACTGGGTTGTGAGCAGAGTTTTGGCTACAGTACTGCAGTTTTACGACCGTGTCACGAATTCACACAATTCTGGGCAGTGTGCAGGATAAAACAAAAAAACCTACAACCTTCACCCCAAACTCCATTCCTATGTAACAACATAATCAGTATGGTGATGCAACCAATTTGAACACCGTTAATATAAGAAGGAAAGTCAAATTCTGTCTTAAGTTATTTCCTATATATTGGGAGGGAAGGAGCCTGGCAGCAAATGGCAGCTTGTTCCACAGAATAGGGTCCATCATGGAGAAAGCCCACTTCATCACTATCGCCTTCTTAGCCTCCCTCAGCATGCCATCTTCAGAAACTATGAGCTGGGAGGCAAAGGTGGAACGGGTACCTGTTTTCTGGGAGAGATGTTCTGGCAAGTATCAAGATTCTAACCCACTAAGGGCTTTATGACTCATAACCAGCATCTTGAATTGACCACAGAAACTAACAGAGAGCTAATGCAGGGCCAAGACTGGGAATACACGAACAAATTTAGTAGTCCCAGAGATCAGCCTGGCTGTCACATTTTGAACCTGCTGAAGCTTCTGTCCTGTTTTCAAGGGCAGCCCTACATAGACAGTGGTAAATCAGATGAAGCGGAGGGCACGGGAGTACAAAATGAATATGCAAGGAAAATTGCTCAGGCAGCTGTCATACAATATACAATGGCTCCATAGTAGTAACTACTGTTGGATACAAACCTGATGAATGAACTGATTAACATAGGTAATGAGATGGAAAAAACCCATTGCTACAGAGTGCCTTCAAACATGCTTGCCATCCGCCATCAGCCCGGGCTTGGCCTTAGAGCTCAAGGCACAAGACTCACCTCTGCAAGCGTCTGCATTGCCGTAAGCCTTGCATATTCTTTCTCCAGCATGTCTAGCCTTTCCAGTTTAGACTTCACATGAGACTGATCAAAGATTCTCTCTCTTTCTAAGCTGGCCTAGAAAGAGAAGAGGGAAAATGGAGGTCCTTCAGGGCACGAGGGGGCGCAGAAAAGGAGGGTAGAAACAGCTTTCTCTATCATATAAAGCCACAGAAACCAGGCCAGTAAAAAGGGGAGAAGTCAGTAACCCCAAGTCAGTCGCTGTATTTCACTAAAAAGCAGGAAGTTGTTGAAAGAAATGTGAAAGTTGAGGGAAAACGAAAAAGCACAGTGTTACTTCTGACAACCAAGCTAACATACAGCCATCACAGTCAGTAAACTTTGGGAAATTATGATGGTGGTTGTGGGTTTTTCGGGCTCTTTGGCCGTATTCTGAAGGTTGGTCTTCTTAACGTTTCACCAGTCTCTGTGGCCAGCATTTTTAGAGGACAGGAGTTACCAGAGCACAGACAGAATTCCGACTCCTGTCCTCTGAAGATGTCGGCCACAGAGACTGGCGAAACATTAGGAAGAACAACCTTCAGAACATGGCCAAAGAGCCCGAAAAACCCACAACAGCCATCAGATCCCATCCGTTAAAGCCTTTGAGAATACTTTGTAAAATTGCCTTTTATTTATTTGTTTGGACCACAAAACTAGCAATATCTCCAAGCTGGCATGGCTATTAGCCGAATCCAAATAAGTCTCTTGCCCAAGCATTGCTGATTACTGGCCACTGACACTTTCATCCTCACAAATTTGTCTCGCTCCCTTTTAACACCGCTTCAGCTCTTGCTGCGAACTCCACAGTTAACTAATATAAGTAAGTCAAGGCAATGAGCAAGATTTTTAGGATCTACAGAATCGAACCAGTTAGCTGTAATCCTCTCGCACCTCGCCTGCCAGCATTTACCAGGCATGTTAACTTCAAAGTCTGACGTACCTGCTTCTCCAGGACAGAGGACTTCTCATGTTCAGCCTGCTCTATCATTTGCTTCATGTAATCCAGCTGCTTCTCCAGAAGATTGCACCTTGTCTCAGCACCCGCCAGCTGTGCTGCCAATGCTAAAAGCAGCAGAAAGAGAAACGGTCAGCTAACATGAGAGGGAAGTGCCAGCTGTGCCAGAGGGTTTAGTTTCTACAAATTATCATCCCCTCAAAAAAAATGTTTTTCACAGGCATATGAAGGTGCACGCCACAGATTCAATGCTGAATACATCAGGGGAGAGCTAGTCACCAAGTATTTATGGGCAGAAGACAGGCCCTTAAAAATAAAAGGCAAGAAAATATCAACTGGATCCAAAGGATACACCAAAACCCAGAAATCATGTCATACCTACAGGGCAGCAACTAGACGCTATCCAATATCTAATGTTGAGGTATTCCAACCAGCCACAGATGTGCTTCAATAAATGAAGCCCAAGCTACGAAGAGTAGCAGATGAAGCATGCCAAACACTTGTCTTGGCTGTCACCTAAAAGTTTACTAGGAGGTCCCTGTGGATACGTCCGTCAGTTCCACAAGTGGGAACAATCGGATAACGTGGTGACCCAGCTGCTTCTGGAACTGATACCTGCATTCTGATTCCAGGAGGCTCACTATACAGGATTGCTCTCAAAAAGGTCTTTTTTGAGTAACTTTTCCAAGTTCTCATTCTCCATCACACGGACCGACAGAAAGGGGTCCAGCAACAACCAAGGTTAATTATTTATTTTAAATATTTGTACCACCTTTCTCCCACCGTGTTTCCCTGAAAATAAGACAGAGTCTTATATTAATTTTTGCTCCAAAAAACCCAATAGGGCTTATTTTCAGGGGATGTTTTGTTTTTTTCATGTACAACCATCTACACTTATTCAAATACCGTCATGTCATCTTCTTCTGGTGGCTGCACAAGGGTGGAGGGCAGGGTTTCACTTAACTGGGGCTTATTTTGGGGGTAGGGCTTATATATTACAAGCATCCTGAAAAATCATACTAGGGCTTATTTTCAGGTTAGATCTTATTTTCCGGGAATCAAGGTAGAAGAGCCCAAGGTTCACTGGAAATCGGCAGGGATTGCCCAGAGGGAAGATCCATAACAACATATGAACTTCCTTGAAAGCTTGAACTTCTCTACTGATCTTTGCCTCCAACAGGCATTGACAGGGTGCATCCGATGGGCTCTGCCTGCTGTAAGTTTTAGGAGAACAATCCATGGTCTGCAGCATCACATGGGGCTTTTCCCACTATTTTATACTACTCAGTTGGTCAGCCATTCCAGCACGGATATCAGCAGCACTGGAATAATGATTTTCATTCAAATCAACAAAGAAGGGAAGCTTAACATTTGCCCTGTGCCCAACAATGTTGATACAGCGCAAACCACCCCTTCTCTCTCACTAATAACAATTACCTTTATCAGGATCACCAAAGAATAATGCACAAATTTAGAATACACCCTGTATAACTGGGACAAGTAACGCTCACGTGGTACCCACTGGACCTGTATCAGCTCACAACAGGCTAGCAAGAATGTAATCAACCAGCCAAAAGAGCTCTGTTGGATTATTGCGTGCTGATGCAACGATAGCAAAAAAAGAACAACTTCTTCAACACTATCCCTGCCGTGGAGTAAACCACTGGATGCACTCTAACCCATTTTTGTTCAAACTGGCTCCAGCTTTCCTCCCAACATTGCTGTCCCAATTCTTTCAATGTCTCCCATCCCCTAAAAATCCAGGGAGCTTATATGGTCTACTCAGCAGAAAGGGATGGATGAACCGACACACCATTTCCCCACTTCAGACAGGGGTCAGGGCACTTTTGCTAAACAGATTTTCCCCCAATATAATGTGTTTCTGTATGTTATTTTCACTCATTTATAATTTTCAGTACCTGTTAAACTTCAGTACTTTTTAAACAGCTGCATTGCAAAATTCAGACAGGTGCATATGTCAAAGTGAATGACTTCATTTTAGTTCACATATCAGTTTGAGAATTAACTTCAGGTGAATTCACATTAAAATGGGACCAAATCAATTTCTTCCCCAACCCTAAGTATCCATACAAACACTGGAGATGATCAAACTAGAGATATCAGCTTACCTTCATTCTTCCTGGATACCTCTAGTTTTGAATGCTCCTGTTCCTGCAACTGCTCATTTAGCACTTTCTTATAGTCTGAGGTTTCCCTGGTCAAGTTTTTCACACTCTCCTCTGCTTGAATCCTTTCCAGCTCCAGCCGTCGTATCTTCTCTTGTAAGTTTTTCAGAGCCGAGAATATCGCTAATGTAAAAACAAAGCAAATACAATTAAACATGCCTGTCGCTGAACTGACATGATGCCATAGGCAGAGTTATTAGGTTTTGATCAGAGAGATGGAACTTTAAGACTGCTCAGCAACGACATTTTCTGGGTTGCATTCACCCTGAACAAGCAAGCCACCTGGTTTTGGAAGCTAAGCAGCATTTGATCTGGTCAGAACTTGGATGGGAGCCCATCACAGAGATATAGAGCTCAGTGGCACAGCACAGGTTCAATCCTCAGCCCTCCATGTAGGGTATTTTTTTTGTGGGAGGAGGAATCCTGCTTGAATCTCTGGAGAGACATCATCAGTCAGGGTCAACAACCTCTGGGCTTGATGGACCAATGGTCTCCCCTCAGCATAAGGCAGTCCCCTCTGTTTCTTCTGCCTTAGCCTACTGCAGAGGGGTGGAAGTAAAGATAAAACAGCATGAACCACCACCCCAGTTATTCTGATGTCCTTGGAGCAAAGACTGGATACCCATCTGAGTTACAGGTTTATTTATTGGTTCATCATCGAATGGGATTTATGATCAGTGCCATTCTGTGTCCGACAGATGGGACAATCTCTGTGCAAAAGAGTGAATGGATATAAATCTGGTAACAAGGATGACAACTCAGAGAAGCCAGTTTCAGAAGACTTCAGCTTCCCAGTACGCTGCTGTGGATACCAAAGTGGTAGCTGTAGAAAAAAAATGGAACTATAAAGGGAAACTGAAGAGCGAGACAGCAGAAATTTGTTACTGAACTCCTTCAAGAGCATCTCTAAGGGTTTAAATAAAAATTAAGGCTTCTTAAAGCCCAGTGTTGTGTAATATCTTATGGGCAGAAAACTGGTTTTCTCCTTGACATATTTTGAATTCCACCCCAGAAAGAACTCTTAACACATTATAATTTACTCCCCCACCCCAAATACAGCTCATCACTCTAACTATGGTTTGCAATTCCAGATAATTAACATCTCAATAGCCCCATTCCTGTTGTCAAGGGTGCACTTACTTTGTCTGTTGTCTAAACCCTCACCTAGTCATGACCCCTCATGGAGATGTGTATAAGCATAGAGAAGACTGAATAAGTATACCATGTTTCTGAGGAAATAATTTTTGATTCATGCAAGCTTTTGCTGAAACAAATGTGCTCACCTATCTGTACGAGGACATCTGTGTTACCATACATTAATGACCACTGTAAATCCAATGATTAATGTTTGTACATTTACCACGTCATTCTCTTTCAATATATATATCAGTGAAAATAATATACAGTACATGAACACTGATGTATCATAAGCTGATCACTTATACTATACTCGGTGCATCTAATATTGGGCTGCAGGCCACAGAAGGCTAGGCCACATAAAATGTCTTAGCCTTTAAGGTGCCTCAGAGATATCTTTTTCCTGCAAGTAACACAACAGTTCTTGCTGCAAACAGATTAACGAGGCTGATTTCTGAAACATTTTGACAGAATTTCTCTTCATCAAACTGTTGCTGACAACACAACCTATGCTGGAATGAGGTAAGCCACATAGAACAGGACAAGAAACAAACATCAAACTGACAATAACAGGTTAGACCTTTCTAATAACTGCAACAGGGCAGTCTCCCTTTCTCTGAACAACTTTTGCCATTCATTTTTTTCACAGTAGCTACAGGAAAGTCAGCAGAAGAGTATTCTGGGAGTTTAAAATTCCTAGGCTTTAGATTAAAGTACTCGCCATACAGGATCAATGCCATAAAGACTCCCCACAGAAAAGCCATGAGGAAACAGAGCCTCTTCTGTCAACGAGGAAAAGGGAAACCTAGTTTCAGTTCTTCCTGCCCCCCAACACACAGCGAAGCTGCAAGAAGCCTGCGCTATCAATAATTAGTAGGCCAGCTTGCTTTTCTGCAATATCCAAGAGAACACCTTGACAATTTTCATTTAATTCAGTTGTCTGGAGCTGATCCAAAACAGGAGAACCTCCTCTAGATTCCAGTGTATGAACACAAGCCAGAGGTTTGAATCAAGGAAGTTAAAATTTCAGTATCCCCAAACATAAGCTGGGGAAGGCTGCTAAGAAATCATTGGGCAAAATTTATTCTTCCCCACATCTCGATAAGAGTCTGGACAAATGGGTAAAATGGAGATAGGGAGAGTGTGGCCAACGCAAGCGTTACCTTTATTAAACCACTAAACCAATCAACTACTGCTGCAAGAACTAACCCTTGAAGGGACTTTCTGCTGCCTTCACACTTCACAGCAAGCGTGAAACTATCCAGGACATGCAATCAACATTTATACAATTATTTGTATAATAATGCCAATGTAACCTCCCTGTGCTTGATCATATGCACATGTAACTACATTTCACTCAAATATATGAAGAACTGCATTAATCCATGGAAGCTTTGTTGTTGTTTAATCATTAAGGTGTGTCCAACTCTTTGTGACCTCATGGCAGGCCCTCCTGTCTTCCACTGTCTCCCAGAGTCGGGTCAAATTCATGTTGGTAGCTTCGGTGACACTGTCCAACCACCTCATCCTCTGTCATCCCCTTCTCCTCTTGCCATCACACTTTCCCAACATCAGGGTCTTTTCTAGGGAGTCACCTCTTCTCCTGAGATGGCCAAAGTATTGGAGCCTCAGCTTCAGGATCTGTCCTTCCAGTGAGCACTCAGGGTTGATTTCCTTCAGAACAGATAGGTTTGATCTCTTTGCAGTCCAGGGGACTCTCAAGAGCCTCCTCCAGCACCACAATTCAAAGCATCAATTCTTCAGCGGTGAGCCTTCTTTATGGTCCAGATCTCACTTCCATACATCGCTACTGGAAAAACCATAGCTTTGACTTTGTTCCCCTTCTATTTGCCAAGAGGTGATGGGGCCAGTGTCCATGATCTTAGTTGGAAGCTTACATTGGAATATAAAAGTTAATCTTTAAGGTGGCACCATGTTCTTGTATTTTGCTTTTTATTCTTGCTTTTATCTAGCATTCTCTGTACTGCATCCCCCATCACCAAGAGCTATGCCAGCACGGACCAGTGGGAACTCCTGTCCAACAACATCTGGAAAGTCTATATTTCAGGAGTGGAAGAGGAAGAAGACCCTCCTTTTTAAAAACCATCAATTGATTTTTCTTCCCTCACTCATTCATCCAATCCCTTGTATCCTTCTTTTGTTAACTGTGCCTAAGGCAGCTTGCAACTTTTTGAATGAATGTTGCAATTGAAAACAATAGAATCAGTTACAAAGAATCATTACATCAATTTTGATTTTTGAAAGTCAAGAAGAATTGCTATGACATTACCAATTTTTTTTAATCTCCCATTTCAGTTCTCTTCAAATCTCTTGATAAGATCTCACAGGCATCTGCCAGAATCCTGTTAGTGATGCAAGCCAGTATAACTCAATCAACATAAATCTCAATGGCAAATTGCCATTTGTTGCCAGTATAACTCAATCAACATAAATCTCAGTGGCAAATTGCTATTTGTTACAAAGGCAACATACTGCAGAATTTGCTGTTGCATGCCGTCAATGTGAGTCATCTCCATGTGCAGCAGCTCGGTGCTGAGACTGACTTGAATTAAACTGCGCCAATATAAGTATATTGTATGACTCTTGCCATTTTATTTTAAAGTTCAACCCAAGGCTCCCCAAGATTATATTTCCTTATGCTGACTGCAAGTTATAAGCTTTCCAATTTGAATAATGAACTGGAATTGATCCTCAAAGCAATCCCATTTCTGTGAGCTGAAAGATTACCTTTGCTATTACTCTCTGGATATGCCCTTACAGGTCTGGCGGGGGATCGGCTCATATCAGCATTAATGAAAGGCCTGTGCCGAGGATACTCTGAAAACGAGGCAGCCGAAAGCCTATCTGTGAATGACGCCGATCTGTGGCTTGTACGAAGAACTGCCTGGAAAAAAAGTAAAAATGGTTAGGATTTAGAGAGCCAAAAGAGGCACAGAGTTTGCCTGTTCTGTCCTGTAATGGGCAGGGGAATGATGTGAATCTCAAGAGGCCCCTAATAGCTAGACTGAAGAAGCTAGTGCTGAATAGTGCTGTGGTTTAGGTATCTGGCAGCACAGCCAGAGGTTGGGAGTTTGATTCCCCACTTGTGCCTCCTTGATGGGGGCTGGATGGACTTGATGATCCACAGGGTCCCTTCCAGTTCGGTGGTTCTAAGACTCTAAATAAGTAAGAAAGCAAACTTTCAGAAGACTTGAAACCATGTGGAGAAGCTGTGGCCCTCCAGAAGCTGTTGGGCTACAACTCCTAACACCTCCTGACCACTGTCCATGCTGACTAGGGCTAAAGGGAACAAGAACCCAGAAATATCTGGAAGGCCGTTGCCTCCCCATTCTTAACATAAAGAAAGAAGGTAAAAGGTAAAGGTTCCCCTTGACATTTTAGTCAGTTGTTTCTGACTCTAGCGGCCAGTGCTCATCCCCGTTTCCAAGCCGTAGAGACAGCGTTTGTCCGAAGACAGTTTCCATTGTCACGTGGCCAGCGCGACTTAGACCCGGAACACTGTTTACCTTCCCACCGAGGTGGTACCTATTTATCTCCTCGCATTTACATGCTTTCGAGCCGCTAGGTTGGCAAGGAGCTGGGACAAAGCGACGGGAGCTCACTCTGTCGTGTGGATTCGATCTTACGACTGCTGGTCTTCTGACCCTGAGGCACACAAAGGCTTCTGCGGTTTAGCCCACAGCGCCACCACGTCCCTTATAAAAAAGAGAGAAAGCACTGACTAAACAGGCATCAGGAGTAACGGGACAGGAATCATAAGGCAATCTGACTGGAATGTCAAATTAATCTCAGGAAAGCCGGATTCAAATTCTATCTCAAGCATGAAGACTGTATAATCTCACGTATCTGCCACTTGGACTTAGCTCACACTGTTTTTGTGAGGATACACCTGGTGCAGGAGGAGTGAAAGAAGCATGTGTTCTGCTAATGTATGTGGTCTTTAAAAGAATGAATGGGATAAAATGCAATTCATTAATTCAACAAGTGGAGGAGGTAATTGAAGGAGACTCTAGATAAACTGATAAACTTATTCCCCCAAAAAATGGGTGAAATACAGGCAAAGCCAGAGGAAGAGGTGACATGCGCATCGTATGACTGCTACTGTGTACAGTACTTAATTTAGTAAATGAATTTGTTAGAGAATTTATAATCCATCTTTTAAGGTGATCACTTCCAAAACAGCAAAGAACAAAACTGAAAACCACAAGACATAATCTAATGGTAACGTCAGAACATAAGAGACTTACATGGCAGTCCAAGCCATGTTTACCAAAAAAGAGCCAGGAACAGCATTTAAGGATGCAGAAAAAGTTCAGACCCAGTCTCAGCTACAGAGTGCAGAATGATTTTATGCTAAACCATTGTCATCTCAACTGTCTGCTCTGTCTCATAGGGTTATTAGATGATAAAGGGAGGGTGCAACACCACAATTCTTGAAGAAAGAACAGGATAAAAATAATGATGAACAATCCTTATTGACCAATATTATCGTTAATGCTACTGTTATACATTATTGTTATAAATTTAAAAACACACAAGTGTACAGAACCATAGAATAATGGTGTTGGAAAACACCTGTAAGGCCATGGAGTCCCACTCTCAACTTGTGAATGGATATGGGAACCATCTCTACCTCTCTCCCCCAAATTGTCTGTATCTGTGCATAGCACAGGCTTGATGAACCTAATCCCCAAATAAAACTACTGTTTAGCATTCAGTAACCACTCAGTAAACCATAGTTTAGTATTTAAAGTTAACCGTTTTAGATGTTGAACCTACAAGGAAAGCCTTTCATGCAAGCAGCAGCCTTCCTGCTAAGCTTCTGTTTGTAAACTAACAATATGTTTTGCAATGTATTAATTCATTGTTAATTGCTCTTGTTTTTAATACAAGAACAGACTCTGACTGGGGAGAACTGAAGTTAAATCCCTGCTCAGCTTACCACGTGATCACCTCTCAATTCAACTGATCCCCTTGGGGCTTTGTGATGAGCAAGCAGGAGGGGAAGCCACACCTAGTGAACTTTCTCTGGAGCAAAAGCAGGAAATAAGCATAATAATACATAACAAATCATATACACCACTCTGAGTTCCTTATTAGGATAACAAAATGACCTAAGCAAGCAAACTTGGCCCATTCACTTGGAAATCATTCCTTTGTTTTCTTTAAAAAACACACACAAAAACCTATGGTTCCTGGAAGCCTAGAGATTTCCAGTTGTTGTTTTTTCAAAGGAACTTTTCTAAATTCTAGTTGCAATATGTCACTCCCATGTCCCTCATGCTGCAATCCTACAGGTCAATCTTCACTTGGAAATCATTCCTTTGTTTTCTTTAAAAAACACACACAAAAACCTATGGTTCCTGGAAGCCTAGAGATTTCCAGTTGTTGTTTTTTCAAAGGAACTTTTCTAAATTCTAGTTGCAATATGTCACTCCCAGGTCCCTCATGCTGCAATCCTACAGGTCAACCTACTAGAAATAGTGTACACTCTGCTGCTCTCGTTGACTTCCAAACACATCATCTGCACATAGCCTACAAACCGAGCCCCTATGATAGGTAAGTGGTCAAAATTAGCCGTCTATAAGTCAAGGGTCCACTGTAGTGTATACTCTGCTGCTCTAGTTGACTTCCAAACACGTCATCTGCACATAGCCTACAAACCGAGCCTCTATGATAGGTAAATGGTCAAAATTGAAAGGAAAAAAGATCAAAGAGAGTACAAGAGAAGCAGAATACGGTGGCAACCGAGATTTATGTATTTTTTTGGAAATGGTGATAAGTAAGGATCTAGTCTAAGCAACCAAGCTGCAGTTTTTATTTTACTTCCAGACCAAAATGAGGAATATAGGATATGAACAAACAGGTTATCAAGTGTTATGGTATGTTTGCCTTGCAACTACACTACCTTGGTAACATGAGCACGCCTCGGGGTGACAGCACAGGCAACGTAGGTTGCCATCATGTTGCCCTTACTGAAGGTAAGCTCATCTTAGCTTGTCTCCCCCACACCATCAGTGAATAGCTTAGGTCACATGGCAAAAAGTGGCACATACATCTTTTGCGGACTGGCAACGTAGGTTGCCATCATGTTGCCCTTGCTGAAGCTGTTTTCAGCTCGTCTTAGCTTGTCTCCCCCACACCGTCAGTGAATAGCTTAGGCCACATGGCAGAAAGTGGCACATACATCTTTTGCGGCCTGTTGCACACACAACAACTTGACCCTAATTCAAGTGATAAATGCTCGATTTAAGTATTTTGCTCACATAGTTTTCTATGCATCATTAAGTATAAAACAGGGAGTAGACTAAGAACCATTTATTTCACCAGTGCACTCAAGCACATTCTCAAAATAATGCCAAGGGAACAAGAGAAGGTGGGGACACAGAGAAGAACAACTGTGTTGCGGAATGGGTTATGTTTGATATGAAGGAAGACCACAGGGGTTTTTGCTAAACCAGGGAACTCACTGAATGGCCTCCAGTCAGTCACTCTCAGTCATTGTAAGACAATGACAAGCATTAAGACAGCACAAGAAGCGCCTTGAATGCCTTAAAGCAGAGATAGGAAAGGTACAAAACCTTACAGATACTCTTGCATTGCAGTTGTCACTGTACTGTACTTCCCTGTTATTTTTTGTGGGCTATTGCTGATGTGAATTGGAGTTTAACAAAACTTGGAGAGCCACAAGTTCTCCATGTACCATAACTAAAAACTTAATACACTGCAATTGAATGAACTATGCATAAATAAAAATTTAATACAATGCAATTGAATGAACTATGCAAAACAGTATTACTGAAAATCTGCATGACTTTAGATACACCATCTCTTTTTTTAAAAGAGAAGTTAATTTCATTTTTAGATTCATTCTTTTCCTCTCCCATTTATTCTTACAACAGTCCAGTGAGAGACATGAGGCTGAAAAAGACCAACTGGATGAAATTAACCCACCGATCTTCATGATTTGAGTGAAGGGGCTTGAAGCAATTTATTTGTCAATGATCTTGGGGGGGGGAGGGGAGAGCACCCAGACCCCCAATAACATTCCAAAAATACAGCAGTTTAAGCAAAAATATAAAAACAGCTATCAATGTATCCCTAATTAGAGCTCACCCAAGTTAAACTCTGAAATAACTGGTTGCCCAACTACTTTTGATTTTTTACCTCAATGAGGGAAAGTGGCAGCAGTCCAACAAAACAGGATACATTTTGCCTTCAAAAGATTCCTCTAATCTAAATCATGAAAAACACAGAATTGTAGAGCACGAAGGGGGATCCCACAGGTCATCAAGTCCATCCCCAGCCGATGCAGGAAATCTGCCAAAAAAGGGGTACCCTAATAGATGGCATCCACCCAACTTCTTAAAAAGTCGAGTCCACTATCTCCCCAGGTAGACGGTCCCACGGTCAGAAGCATCTTCCTAGCAAAAAGCTCTTTGCTAATGCTGTCTGTCCCAAATCTCTTTTTTTAATCCATCCATTCCCATCCGTCCTTTAACAACAACAACAACAACAACAACAACAAGATGATGAAGAAGAAGAAGAAGAAGAAGAAGAAGAAGAAGAAGAAGAAGAAGAAGAAGAAGAAGAAGAAGAAAATCATAGGTGGGGGTCCTGGTCTCATGAATTAAAACCGAACCAGATCCAGGGAGACCCCTGCTTTCACGAGTCTGCAGCTGCCTAGCAGAATTGACACGGAACTATGTCAGTTCCACGGGTTAAGCAAAGCTGGCTCCATGGAAAGCTTGCCTCTGACCATGCGAAGAGCGCCTTTCTGCCCTGGCCGCTCAAGAGCCGCCCACATCCAACCCGCTACCGACATACACACGTACTCCCCGGACACAGCACACGGATCAACCAGGGCCCGGCCTCTTCCCGACCCTCCCCGCTCACCGAGTGCTCAGGGTCCCCTGCCACCGCCATGCCGCCCAAAGGTGGCCGCAGCGGGTGCCTGTCCCTTTAAGGCCAGCCGCTCCCACCGGCCCGCCGCTCTTCCTCTCGCCCTCCCTTCCTCCCGCCTCTGGTGCGCCAACAAGGTAGCTCTGTTGAGTGACATAGCGACCAGCCAACAGCACCGCACCTTCGCCCACATCAATCCGCTCCCGCCATCTACCGCACTCATCATTGCCTTTTAGGGTGTTCTTGCGTCACATAGCCGGAATCCATGATTGACGCGCGGAGGAACCAATAGCGAGGCAGAGGAGCCGAGCCTGGGGCTCCAGTTCCCTCAACGCCGAGGAGGGAAACAGGTGGTGAATTAAACGCCAGCCAAACTGGTGACGCAGTTGGGTTTATGGCAAACTCGGTGCTTTCGCCAGAACAGAAGGGGTTAAAAAACCAACAACAACAAACGTGGGTCCCTTCTAGGCAGCCGCAACTCGACGGCGAACGTAGAGGTGAGGATGTATGCCCTCCCTCCCAGCCGCCAAGCCGCGAGAAAGCTTCAGGGTTTGGCCAATGAAGGAGAACGGAGAGGGTCTTCCCTTTCGGGTTGGTCGGGCTTAACGTGACGCAGGAAAAGAGGCGGGGCATCATCGCCGTATTCTTCATAGGATCGCGAGGTTTGAAACCCCTCCTCTTTTTTTTCTTTTTTTGCCGCGTGGCCCTGATTGGCGCAAACAGCCGCGGCGGCGGCGCTCGCGCCCTTGCTCTGTTTGCGTGAAGAGAAAGAAGGAGGGCGAGAAAGGGCCTTGACGCGGAGGCTGCCGCTGCCGCCGACCCAAGAAGGAAACGGGGCCTAGTGGGGAACCGAGGAGGAGGACGCCGCCGAAGAAGGAGAGGAGGAGCCGGCTGGCTGGCTGGCTGAGGGGAACGGCTGCTTCCCCGTGTGTGTGTGTTTGTGTATGAGAGAGAGAGACTGCCTTGGTGAGGTGGTGGTGGTGGAAGAGTGGTTTTTTGGCCTTCCTGAGGTGGACTCTTTCCCGACGGGTCGGCCGCGGCTGCTGCGCTGAGGGGAAAGCGGATGGCGGCAACATCCGGGGCCTCCGGGGCGGCGGTCGTGGCAGCGGCGGCGGCGGGAGCAGCGACCGCGGTTGGATCCGGCGGGGCCCCGGCTCTCTACGCCTGCACCAAGTGCAACCAGCGCTACCCGTTTGAGGAGCTCTCCCAAGGACAGCAGCTCTGCAAGGTGCTGGGTCCGCGAGTGGGGTGGCGACGACGACGAGGGACACCGCCTGAGGGAGGGAAGGAGTTGGGGCTCAGCCGAGAGGAGGCGACCGTTCCGGGAAAGGGAGGCACGGTTAGGGCAGGGAGAGCCGCCCGTGGGCAGAAAGGATGCCTGGCTCCGGGAGGGGAAGGCGGGAGCATTCAGGAAACGGACCCGGGTTGGAGGAGGCTTCGAGAGAGGCGCCCGAAACACCCCTTGCTAGGGGTTGGGAAAAGCAGGCAGGGCTTCCGCTTCTGTATGCTGAATCCGGGGCGGATTCAAGAAGGCCGAGCATCTGTAGTAAAGCAGACCAAATAGCACCAATATGTGTGTGTGTGTACACGCAAGATTTTTAAGGTCTCTAGAGCTTTTCATCAGGCAAGAGGGGCGGGGGTAGATAGAAGAAGCAGAGGGAGTCAGGTAACCAGCTGGCTTGTCTGAGGGGGGAAAAAAGTGGAGAAAAGGATTCTGCGGGATCTCAAAGGAAACTGATGGAGTGATAGGACGGCATAAGGTTTCACCTCACTCCTAGGTCAGCAGAGGGAGTCAGGTAACCAGCTGGCTTATCTGAGGGATTTAAAAAAAGTGGAGAAAAGGATTCTGCAGGATCTCAAAGGAAACCGATGGAGTGATAGGATGGCGTAAGGTTTCACCTCACTCCTGGGTCTCCTGGGATTGGGATAAGGGGGGGGAAGCAATATGCGCTCTTGAAAATACAAAATCACATAAGTTAAATTCTATAGTAGGCTTATTTACGAAGATTATACACGTAAAGGTTGTTTGCATCTTCTGAATAACTAGACCACATCAGGATCTATCATTAAAAGTATTCTGTATGAGGGAAGTTACAGCACTTTCCTAATGAGGTCATATGGGTGTGTTATGCCTGATACAAAGTTGTTGTCCAAAATGGCATCCCTGTGTCAAGTTGTCCTCCCCCTGCTCTGACACTGTGGGGATAATACAATATAATTTGTGTCATATTGTCTATATATTGCCCAGCATAGTTCCACATGTATATTTGAGTACCACTGCCAGTCAATGTGCTAATAATCAACAGCTTGCTAACAGTAGTGATTGGAAAGAGGTTCATTTTCAGTGGCATTCCCTTTTTAGATGTCTTAATTTAATTTTTTAAAGGTTTTCAAACCCAGGTTTGTTAATATTTATGTTCTTTATTCCCCACTTCTACATTTTAATTAGTTTTTAGTTTGCAAGAATGAAAAGACAGCAATTTTTACTTTCAATACTTTATGGACTGAATAGTCTGTTATAGCCTTCAAGGGTTGGTAATCTGGCATCTTTTGGCTAAGAGGTCAGAATGACCCAAAAGTTTGATCTGGGGTTTGGAAGTACCACAGGAGCTCAACAGTGCACATTTTCAAACAGATCAGAGTCCATGAAGTTTTTTGTAAGAGTGGAATTTCCAGTATTATTTCAGAAGATGTAAGTTGAATTTTAAATGTAATTGTTTTGTTTCAGTATTTGCATATTTTTCTTTTCTAGGAATGTCGTATTGCACATCCCATGGTAAAATGCACTTACTGTCGATCAGAGTTTCAGCAAGAGAGGTAAGTGTTTTCTATGTTTTACACTTTTGGAAAGTGCTATCATATCTCTCCTGGGTTTTCTTTTCTCCAAGTCTAAACCTTTACCTTGATATGCCTGCTTGTTCTTTGATTCAGCTTGCTTTATTTTTTTTCTCCTGAAGCTAAGTCATTTTGTTCTGTTTTACCAGCAACTTCTTTTTCGTATGTATTTTTTGTCTTGTATGTTTAGTAAAGTTTATGTTAGATTTTTACATACAAGCTCTAAGTTTTCTTTTATTAAGCCGTACATAGCAAATGGGTGTTGTTGTTTTTTTAGTGGATGTACATTGGGTTATAGTACATGTAGGGATGTTAGGAAATCAGCCCTGAGTGCTTACTGGAAGGACAGATCCTGAAGCTGAGGCTCCAATACTTCGGCCATCTCATGAGAAGAGAAGACTCCCTGGAAAAGACCCTGATATTGGGAAAGTGTGAGGGCAAGAGGAGAAGGGAACGACAGAGGACGAGATGGTTGGACAGTGTCATCGAAGCTACCAACATGAATTTGATCCATCTCTGGGAGGCAGTGGAAGACAGGAGGGCCTGAGGTGCTCTGGTTCATGGGCTCACAAAGAGTTGGACACGACTAAACAACAAATATTGGGTTACTTCTTTATATAGTTTGTTTGCCGACTTCTTTTTCATTCACCTTCGCTGTTCACTGAATATCCTACATGGCTGTGGATACTCTGGTGGTCCTTTCTTTTTGAGCCAACAATTCCCAGCATTTATCTGGAAATATCTTTGATAGCAAATAATCCAACAGATTCCCATTCCTCTAATCATTTTTATTGTCACCTCCTGAACTTGCTCCAGTTGATCAGCATCTTTCTTAAGGTGAGGTGTTCCTTCCTCCACCTTTTCTAGAAAAATATTATTCACACAAGTCAGTCGGAAGGACCATGTTTGGCAGAATTTGCCTCCCAACACACATCAGGATAATAAAAATCTGCCATTACTACATTGTGTCTTTTTGAAATGCTTGTAACATGTTTTTTGAAGTTTTCATCATCCTCTTCTCTTTGATTGGACAATCAGTAGGTAACTCGAACTACCATGTTCCTTTTATTTTTCATCCCAATTCTATTAATATAGGTGCTCTTGATAGGACTACCAAGCTCATCCTCCTGCATTTTTAGTAAGAATGTTTTTCACATGTACTGCAATTTCACCTCTTTTTCTTTCTGAACAATTTATATCCTTCAGTTGCTGTATTCCACTCATGAAAGTCATCCCTCCAGGTTTCAGTTATCTTTATCAAGTTGTATTTACCTTTCTGAACTAAGATTTCTTCTTGTTCCCCATACTCCTAGAGATTGTGTGATTTGTGGCCTTTGTTCCTTTGTACATTTTTATGAAGTCTGTTGTTGGACCCCATTAGAGTTGCTCACTTTGTACCTCTTACTGTGCATAAGTCTTTATCTGTCATTACCTATGAGTATGTTTCTCCCGCCCCCTTCCAATTTTGTTTAAAACTGTCTTCTGAAGTATAGGCCTCAGAAATGTTATGCTTGACCATGTTTTGCATATTGATTCAGCCCTGTAAGTAGGAATAAAGAGAAGGTTGCCTACTCCTGTTCTTGTTCCCTAGCTCTCTATCCTTTATTCCTTACCATATCCTGCATGGCTTCTCTCAAAACCTATTACATTTTTAGTACAGTATCGTATTCCAAAATTGAAAGCAATTTGGTTTTTTGGGACCTTCCGTCATTGATGCTTATGGTAAACTTTTCTATTTTGTGTGTATATATGTTATTCTTCCAATGTGCTTTTAGCTATCTTAAATGCTTTCACATATTTCTTAAAGATTTTATTACATCGACTGGGGTGCCAATACTATAAACAAATAAGAGTTGGTAAACAATAGTAGTTGGTAGGAATGTCAGTTTCTATCTTTGTATCCCATCATTTGGTCACACAGCTGGCATCTCAGCAACAAGCTGCGGCGACTTCCATGACAATTCTGGCCAATCCTTTTGGTTAAAAATTGGCTGGGAGAATCTTCTATGAATGGAAAGGGATCAGTCATGAGGGAATGTAGTCAAAAAGTAGAACATTCATGCTGCATGTAGAAGGTCTTAGGCCTTATTAATATTTATCTAGATGGCCCAATAGTTTGTTTCACAGTATAATGTAACTTCCTGTATTTCTAGTAAAGACTATTCATTCTGTGTTCCACTCTGAATGACAACTACCGCATTTTTCCGTGTATAAGATGATACTTTGTCTAAAATCTTTAGGTTAAAAATTGAAGGTCTTATATAAGGAAGTAAGGGGGAAGTGACCAAAGTGCTTTGATTCCTGCTTTCCACCTCTACTTTCTTAGCAAGAAAGTGCTTTCCCCTCCACTTTCTTCAGAAAAATTGGAGGGGGAAGGCAGGAATCATCAAAGTGCTTTGATTCCTGCTAAGCAGGCTTAGCAAGTAAGGGGAAAGCAGGGATCAAAGTGATCCTGCAGTGCCTTGATCCCTGTTTTCCCCCTCCACTTGCTAAGCCCCACTTAGATTTCTTAATTTGGGGTTGGAAAAATGTGTGTGGGAGTCTTATACATGGGGGATGTCTTATACACGGGAAAATAAGATAACCATGAACCTGTATCAGATGTTTGATTATTGCCGTTTACCCTATTTTTTATGTTAGGTTGATTAAGTAATCCTACATATCTTCGAGAATACATTAATCCTACATAGCTTAAATACCCATTTTTATCCAGGGCACTTTTAAAATTCCTGTGGTCAGTGGATTTCATCAACATCTTTTAATTGTAATTTTTCTTAGCTAAAGTCTTCATTCACTGGTTATTGTATCTCCTGCTTGTCCTATTCACTTAACTCATAACTTGCATAAAGATCATGTCTCATGCTATGCTAAAATCAAATAAGATAGGCCAATTTGTGAGCTAGAAATTACAGTGGTGCCCCGCATAACGAACGGTTTGTTTAATGACAAATCCGCATAGCGATGAGGTTTTTGCTATCGCAAAAATTTCAATGGGTAAAAATCGCTTTGCGATGATCGGTAAGTGTTTCGCTTACCAATTATCGCATAACGATGTTTTAAAACAGCTGATCGGCTGTTCCAAAATGGCCGCCGGAAAAAATGGCCGCCCGCAGTGTTTTCGCGCCCTTTCCTCGCATACTGGACAGCGAAAATGGCGGCCACATGGAGGATTTTCGCATAGCGGTGAGTTTTTTCCCCATAGGAACCCATTGAAGGGGTTTCAATGCATTCCTATGGCCTTTTTTGCCCCTCATAGTGACGAATCCGTATAGCGACGATTTTTTTGGAATGGATTGTTGTCGCTATGCGGGGCACCATTGTAGTTCCATTTACCAGTTTTCTACTTCTGTAGCTGAATTATGAAGGCTTAGTGGAACACATTTTGAATTTGTTACATGGTTTTATTCCCAAAAGGGACATGGTGGCGCTGTGGGCTAAACCGCAGAAGCCTGTGCTGCAGGGTCAGAAGACCAGCAGTTGTAAGATCGAATCCACGCAACGGAGTGAGCTCCCGTTGCTTGTCCCAGCTCCCGCCAACCTAGCGGTTCGAAAGCATGCAAATGCAAGTAGATCAATAGGGACCGCCTCGGTGGGAAGGTAGCAGTGTTCCGTGTCTAAGTCGCACTGGCCATGTGACCACGGAAGATTGTCTTCGGACAAAACGCTGGCTCTATAGCTTGGAAACGGGGATGAGCACCGCCCCCTAGAGTCGAACACGACTGGACAAAAAATTGTCAAGGGGAACCTCTACCTTTTATTCCCAAAACCTCATGTCATTTGTTTATTTCTTTTGCTTTGGCAAAAAGTATTGTAAACTGCTTAAAGTGAAGTATTTAGGAAAAAAAGTAATCTTGTTTTTTTCTTTTTAGCAAAACAAATACAATATGCAAGAAATGTGCCCAAAATGTGAAGCAGTTTGGAACGGTAAGTTAGCATCTGTACCTTCCTTTCTGATTTGTTGCTGAATCGGTATTTCACCAAGATGTACATGTGCTGATACGATTTATACTTGGGTAACGGTTAGGAAAAATAGCAAAGTAGTTTCTGGTATGTTAGATGTGATTTTTTTTCATCTGTATGCAATGACATTTGAAATACACATAATGCATGTAGAGAATATTAGTGAACAAAATACATTAATGCAGGGGATGTATGCCCTGTCTGGATGTTACAGATTCATGCAGTTCCAGTTATGCAAGAAGCAGGGGAGCAGCAGACAGAATTCTGTTCGTCTCCCTCACTCCTATATGGTTAGGATCTTGTGATGCTTAATGTCCAAATGAAGTGTTAAAGAAACTCTGAGCCATTTTATCTCTTCTAGTTTTGAAATGCAACATCTTCAACAACAAAAATACTGTACTGTCTTCTTTTAGTGTAATTTTTCTTAATTTGCTTTTGTGTTGAAGGAGTACATTTTGGAAGTCATTAATTCATAGAGTCAGAAGTGTTTCTTAATAATAGCAATAATAACAAAAGTAGTACTTCTGCTGAATCGATATCTTTTCAAGTAACTACATTTTGTGAAATGCCAATACAACATAATGCATGACATTCTGTTTTTAATTTGTTCTTGTTCTTTTCCAGCCAAAACCTTGTCAGTACTGCAACATAATTGCTGCTTTTATTGGCACAAAATGTCAGCGCTGCACAAACTCTGAAAAGAAGTATGGACCTCCTCAGACATGTGAGCAGTGCAAACAGCAATGTGCTTTTGATCGCAAGGAGGAGGGGAGAAGGAAGGTAATCAGAACATCTAAGCGGCATCATGTTGCCTACCCTTGCTTTATACCATTTAGGTTATATATGTACAGGTCCTAATCTAGAGTGGTTAGCACTTGATAGCCCAAGTCTATTGACCCAGCATTCCAAGCAGAAGAGAATCTTTGCTCCCCTCTCTAGTGATTAACTGGTGGTGCTGGTGCAGATGATATCTTGCCCTATACCTAGTTAAGGATTAAGTATTCTAGAATAACATTACTTTGTAAATAATGATTCTATAGCTGTATTCAAATAATTATGAGGAAAAAAGGTTTCATATGATGAATTTCTTAATACTTCTATTTAGTATCAGTTTATACAGCACCTATATATCCAGTTGGATGCCTTTAATCTTAAAACTATAAAAAATAAAACTGAACGCATATTTTTGGTAATACTAACTCATGAGTTATAGTAATGCAAGACATTTTGGCCTGCAGTCTGCACATTTGCTATTAGAGAGTGGGGAGTTGTCCTATTTTTCTCCCACTCTTCTTCCACTGAGCTCAAGGTAGTGTATACTGGATGTTCAGTCTTCCATCCAGACCACTGACCTATAGTTATATGGAATTAGGTTTAGAATGTCTAAATTATGTTAAAGAATTAGCAACTAGAAGGTTTGATCCTAGGTATATTAGCATCCAAACATGAGAAAGGAGATTATGTATTTTGTAAACAAAGGGAACAGTAAACATTGGCTTCAAAAATCCTGCAAATGGATTTCTACTTTTGGAAAGCATACTTATGACACTTAAAAGGATGGAGAAGGTACATTTGCCTGTTTGCATTTTTTTTTACCCATGGAAATAGGAGGGAGGAGAAAACATTGGGTGGTTTAGTCCTTTTGTCCTTGAAAATCCTTTTCAGAGAATTAGTTGGGAGACTTCTTGGAGCAATATGAAAACCAGAATGGGGAACAGATGAGGAAGGAGAATTAGCCCCCCAATCCCCAAAATCCCTGTCCTTCCATTAGTGGGATTATTAATTGGACAAGGAAGTGACTTTGCTGTCCATGAGATGCAACTGAATTTGCTCACCTAAAAAAGAAAATGATACTATTTTTCATCCAGTATTCAGTTTAGCATGTTTTGCATCATGCACTGCTGCTGATGTCTGCAATGTTTTTAACTTGTCTAAGTTACTGTGTGCAAGAATAACAGCAGTAGTATTTGATAATTTTATTTTGGCTGTTGTGTGTCTTTTTAGCACTGAATACGTGTAACATAATTTGCTGCGAATGATTTCCCAAAAGGTTGATGGGAAGCTGTTGTGTTGGCTCTGCACTCTGTCCTACAAGAGAGTACTGCAGAAGACCAAGGAGCAGAGGAAGAGCTTAGGGTCTTCACAGTCTAATTCCTCCTCCACAAGCCTAACTGAAAAAGACCAGCAGCATCTGAAACATCACCACCATCACCGTCACCATCATCACCACCACCACCGTCATACCAGCAGCCATCACAAGTAAGTGCTGTGTAACTTAATGGAATGTGCACTTTTTAGTCAAGAAAATTAATGGAGACAAGTATGACATTAGAAAGAGCAACGTGCAAAAGCCAGTGCAAGAACATTTCAGCTTCCTAGGTTACTCACTGAAAAGAAATTACAAAGGGGGACAGTCAAAGCGAGTTACAGTAACAAATGCTATTGTGCACCTAAATGACTATAGCTAATTCTGTCCCCCTTCAGCATCTCTATGAACACTACAAAGGATTTAGCCTACTACTGGCCTCACCTGGCAGTGAAGCTGTTTACTGCAAGCTATTTATGTAATACAGTGGTGCCTCGCTCCGTTTAACGATGAAATTGCTTACCGATGAGGTTTTGGCCATCGCCAGAGCGATCGGTTAGCGATGGCCCCTATGGGGATAAAGCGCTTTGCGATCATGGCAAAGCGATCCTTGCATGTCCGGGAGGAGGTGGGAGGATCCACCCGGAGGAGAGCAGAGCAGCGGCGGGCTAAGGGGGAGCTTCTCATCCCAGCCAAGGGATCCTGTGGAAGCCCACCCTCCATTGAGAGTCACCACCACCACCACCGGCCGCTCTCTCCTCCCCCGGCTTCCCCCTTTCGCTTTCTAGCCTGGAGTTCGTCCTCCCCCCTCCTCGCAAAGAGCGCCTCTGCGGCCACTTGGGCCATCAGGACACCCACATGTCCACCTCCTGCCCCTCCGAGCTGGGGGGGTCAAAGACTCTCCACCCCAAACCCCCCCATACAGCCGCCTCCGTCCCCCCCTCCAAATGGCAGTTTTGCTCCGCGGCGGGGAAAGAAGCGCCAGCTTCCACCACACACACACACACACACGCGCACGCCTGCCTTGCCTTGCGCCCAAGGAGCAGAGAGGGCTACGGGGCTGACTCCTCAGACCAGCAGGCTCCTGCTGCTGCTGCTGTTCCAGATTAGGCAGCACAGAGAGCGCCCACTCTTTTCTCCTTTTTTTCCTCCTCACCTCCCCTGCCTTCTGTCTTTTTTCCCCTTCCCTTCCTTCTTGCTCTCTCGCTCTCTTCCAAGCCAGGCTCAAGTAGGCGGAGCTCGGGGCCCTGGGCGGCCAATCCCGGCCGTTCGGCCTTGGGCTCCGTTGGAGTGAGGGGAAGGTGCTCACACATACACACGCGCGCGCAAACACAGGAAAGCAGTGGCGGGCTCAGGCAGGTGGGCAGGAGAGAAAAAAAGAGAGAAGGAGAAATGGCTCCTTCGACAAGGAGAACAGATGCAAACGTTGTTCCTTTCCGCTTTTGCAATGCTTTTAAGCAGCTGATCGGCGGTTTCAAAATGGGCCCCCTGCTGTTTTGCTCACTTAAGAGGGACCGAAAATGGCTGCCCCTATGGAGTTTATTCGCTTAAGGTTAGTTTTGAAGCCCATAGGAATGCATTAAATGCATTTTAATGCATTTCTATGTGCTTTTAAAAATCGCTTAACGATTAAATCACTTAACGACGTTTTTTCCAGAACGGATTAATGTTCGTTAAGTGAGGCACCACTGTAAATACTTAGAATATTCCTTTCTTGTGTAACTTTCATTGTCAGTTTGCAAGGTCATAGCCAATAATGTAATTGTCCAACTCTGTTCCCCTTTTCAATTGGTTTCCGCTATCATATGTGCTAACATGCACTGGATTATGGAGAAAGCCAGAGAGTTCCAGAAAAACATCTACTACTGCTTCATTGACTACGCAAAAGCCTTTTACTTTGTGGACCACAACAAACTATGGCAAGTTCTTAAAGAAATGGGAGTCCCTGGCCACCTTATCTATCTCCTGAGAAATCTATATGTGGGACAGGAAGCAACAGTTAGAACTGGATATGGAACAACTGATTGGTTCATAATTGGGAAAGGAGTACGACAAGGCTGTATATTGTCCCCCGGCTTATTTACCTTGTATGCAGAATGCATGTGAAAGGCAGGACTGGAGGAATCCCAAGCCGGAATTAAGATTTCCGGAAGCAATATCAACAACCTCAGATATGCAGGTGATTACCACTCTGATGGCAGAAAGTGAGGAGGAATTAAAAGAACCTCTCAATGAGGGTGAAAGGAGAACACAAAAAATGGTCTGAAGCGCAACATCGAAAAAACTTAAGATCATGGTCACTTGTCCCATCACTTCCTGGCAAGTAGAAGGGGAAGAGATGGAGGCAGTGACAGATTTAACTTTCTTGGGCTCCATGATCACTGCAGATGGTGACAGCAGCCATGAAATTAAGAGACCTACTTCTTGGGAGGAAAGCGATGACAAACCTAGATAGCATCTTAAAAAGCAGAGACATGGCCTTGCCAACAAAGGTTTGCGTAGTCAAAGCTATGGTTTTTCCAGTGGCCATGTATGAAAATGAGAGCTGGACCATAAAGAAGGCTGACAGCCGAAGAATTGATATTTTTGAATTGTGGTGCTGTGGGAGACTCAAGAGTCTCCTGGACTGCAAAGAGAACAAACCTGTTCATTTTGCAGGAAATCAACCCTGAGTGCTCACTGGAAGGACAGATCCTGAAGCTGAGGCTCCAGTACTTTGGCCATCTGATGAAAAGAGAAGACTCCCTGGAAAAGCCCCTGATGTTGGGAAAGTGTGAAGGCAAGAGGAGAAGGGGATGGCAGAGGACGAGATGGTTGGAGAGTGTCATCAAAGCAACCAACATGAATTTGACCCAACTCTGGGAGGCAGTGGAAGACAGGAAGGCCTGGTGTGCTCTGGTCCATGGGATCATGAAGAGTTGGACACGACTTAACGAGTAAACAACAACAAACGTATGGGCTGCGTATATAAACTTGTGGCTTACGTAATGTGCTCCATGTGTTTGAGGAACACTATAGGTCATGTTGAAATATCTTCAAGGTGCTAAAATAGTTCTATTTTCATTAATTTAACAAGACTGAATTGCTAAAAACTAGGTTGCTAGAGTACTTCTGTACCTAACATTATTTCCTCAAGTGCTTCCCTTGCAGCCTGTCCTGGAAAAAGCAGATCTGTCCATTATGATGCATACTTTAGCTGTAGTCATTCATTATATTCATTAAAATTAATGACTGAAAATTGCTTCAGGGAGCTGATAATGCCAAAGATATCCTGAACTTCATTTCTCACTGGGTTATTTTAACATCTTTAATTGTTCTGATGGTTTGAAAGGTTGCTGACTTTTTACATGAATTTTGTGATTGTGTGTGTGTGTTTATGTTTGTGTGTGTGTGTGGTGCCTCACTTGACGAGGATAATCCGTTCCAGCAAAATCACTGTAGAACGAAATCATCGTCAAGCAAAAGTAAAAATCCCATTGAAATGTATTGAAAACCGGTTCAATGCATTCCAATGGGCGAAATACCTCAGCGTCCAGCGAAGATCCTCCATCGGGCAGCCATTTTCCGGTGCCTGTAAAGGAAGGAATCCATCCTAAAACGCAGCGGGGCGCCATTTTGAAAGCCTGACGATCAGCTGTTTTGATCATCGTTGAGTGAAAAATCGGTTCCCGAAGCAGGGAACCAATCATCGTGAAGCAATTTTTCCTATTAAAACATCTTTTTGCGATCGCAAAAGCCATCGCAAAAACTTCATTGTTAAACGATTTCCTCGTCCAACGACGTAATCGTCAAGCGGAGCACCACTGTATAGTCTGTATAGCTGTTTTTACTTTTTTGTGGAATGTACATTTTATGCCTAATGTTTTATGGGCCATCAGCCTCTTTGGAAGGTAGGCATCTAGTAGAAAATCAGTAAGTTTTTCATAAGAATTATGATTGTTAAGCCTGTTGTCCACTCTGTGTTTCAGAATCAGCAGTCTGAGTCCAGAGCAGGATCAGGGATTGTGGAAACAGAGGTAAATACTTGCTTCCTTGTATCATGTTTATTTGAAAGTTTGATTACTCTTTTACATCAGACAAAGGACTTCTTTTACCCAGAAAAACATATTGTCTCAGAGCAATCCAACCAGGGGGTACATATAAGTGGTGGGTATGGCCATTTCTAAAAGAAGCAGGGCAACAGTCCTCCTTGCTACCCCCCCGAAGCATTTAAGATTAGTTGCTGCCTGGTAAGAGATACAGCCCATGGGAAGCATTAAAACATCTTAAATCATTCCCTACCACATGTCAGCATTCTCCCCATAATGCAGCACTTTAACTTTTAAGAAACCCCAAGTGGCTTCAGGAGAAACTTTTTGAAATCCTAATTGCTGTGCAAAAGTACATCTGCTATCTATCGTTGTCAAATTATTCAGAAATGAATACAGATATATTATCGTGGATACTACAAAATTGTCTTGCTTTTTTCAGCCATAAATCCTCTGCAGCAATTCAGAATGAAACTCCAAAGAAAAAGCCCAAAATGGAATCCAAGCCATCTAATGGAGATAGGTAAGAAAAATAAGTCTTCCTCACAGACTCTCCTATTCTATTGAACAGAACATTGGTTCGTTTTTGTTTTGTTTTGTTTTCTAAAGAAGTCAACATGACAATCACATGGATTTTTTTAATCGTTTTGACCATTTGTCTAAATCACTGGTTCTTAACCTTTGTTACTCAGATGTTTTTGGACTGCAACTCCCAGAAGCTTCACCATCAGCTCTGCTGGCTGAGGTTTCTGGGAGTTGCAGTTCAAAAACACCTTAGTAACAAAGGTTAAGAACCACTGGTCTAAATGAAGCTGTTATTGGAAACCCGTGTTTGGAAGTTGGGTAGGTAATGTGCTAAAACTGGAGCAAATAAAGAGGCAAATCAGTGCATCTAGCATCAGCATTTCAGTTGTATGTAGACTTGAACTGACCTAAGTAAGATTCTTATGAACAAACCTATTTCCAAAAATAACTTGTTAAATGAGGATGACTGGAGTCTCTAATAATAATTTGGAATGAATTTTAAATATAATTCCTGGAAAACTAATGCATAACTGTATTTTGGCAGGTATATTTATTGTGTGCCAGTACTAATTTAATTGTACAGTTGCATCTATTTTTGTCAGGTATTGTGTTAATCCTGAAGGATATATGGAGGACTATTAGTTTGAAATATATATCATGGGTTTCCTCTTTTGGTTATAACTTGTTCTACTACTTTTGCAGTAGTTCTATAAATCAGTCAGCAGACAGTGGCGGTACTGACAACTTCGTCCTCATAAGTCAATTGAAAGAAGAGGTGATGTCATTGAAGCGCCTCTTGCAACAAAGAGATCAAACTATTCTGGAAAAAGACAAAAAGGTAAATTATCAGTTGTTTCGTTAGCTACTTTGCCCAAATGAAACACTTGCGTAATCGTCATGTGTCTTGCCAAACCCTGCCGAATGTTTCTTTGTGGCCAATCCTAGGATTTGTTGGAAATAGGTTCCCTTAGTCTGTCATTTAAAGCAGTGGTCCCCAACCGTGGGCCTCCAGATGTTCTTGGACTTCAACTCCCAGAAATCCTGGTCAGCAGAGGTGGTGGTGAAGGCTTCTGAGAGTTGCAGTCCAAAAACATCTGGAGGTCCAAGGTTGGGGACCACTGATTTAAAGCATTCAATTAAAATCATTCTGCTAAGAGTGGCCAATTCTGTTTTCTTGTTGTTGCTTGATTTTGGAGGATTGGAAAGAAAGCTAGAACTCTCCCAGGCAAGCTGAAGACGCAGTGTAACCTCTTCTCCATTGCCTCATAACCTAAGGTCTGTGAAAACCACCCACCTGTAGTCTTTACCTCTGGGAATGGCTGAATGCCATGCTTGTCCACCCCAAACACTAATATAGAAGATTGGAAAAGAAAAATACTCTCCATAAAACAACATTCAGGTTAGCAACTCATTGAACATTTCAGTGTGTAGTCAGCACTAAAACTTCCCCCTCACCAAAATAGTGTTGTTAACGCTTTTATATTAATTTGCTAATTAAATCTGAGTCATCCTTTTCTGATTTATTTGAAAATCAAATCTCATCACAAACTGATTGGATACTGAATCTTTAAAACTCCCAGGAGTAAACCATCAAACAGGAATTCAGTAAAATTCACAACCAGCTCCATCTCAAGCATATCTATCCTATCCCAAGTCTCATAAAGCTTTCCAGTCCCGCACATAAAGCTGTAAACAAGGCTACAGAGTAGTAATGTGAGAAATTGAATTGTATTTTTCTGCAAATTGGAGAAACAAAAATCTTTGCATTGTGCAGCTCTTATTTTGAAAAACTTGGGAGCAAAGTACTGCTTTGCTAAAAAAATAGTTTCCTCACATATGGATGTACAAGCATCTTATTTCTACAACTGTAAACCCTGTGCCAGTCCATAGTAAGAAAAAATTTTCTAGTTCCCAAGTTAAGAATAAAGACTTCACTGTTATATTTTTTTCAACAATGTCTTGGATCTTCAGAGGCTTATCAGTTTAAAGGTTAAGGCATTATATACAAGGGGCTCAGTATGTTGATGAGTAATAGATAAGTAATAAATAAATAATAAAATAAAATATAGTACCTCAATAATTAAATAATGAAATAATATGTTTTTCAGCAATAGATAAGTAATTGTTAGCCGCCTAGAGTGGTCCTAACACGACCAGATAGGTGGGATATAAATAAAATTAATAATAATAATAATAATCATCATCATCAATAGACGGGTAATAAAACTCAAATTCTAAAATAATATGTTTCACATATTTTCAGTGTTTCATTTTGCAACTAAAATACATAATGTTATGGGATATTTCTTAATAAAATACATTATATTATGGGATACATCTTTGCCAGTCTTCACACCTGTAAACGAAATGCTTTTTTTGGCTCCTTTAGCATTTTTATCAAGTAGACATGAAGGATTGATATTTTTTTATATTTGTGAATGACATCTTTAAAGGAAATATTCAATAGTATTTTTAAATTTTCAATTCTTTTTCTTAGCTGACAGAGCTGAAGGCAGATTTTCAGTATCAGGAATCGAACCTGAGAACAAAAATGAACAGTATGGAGAGAGCTCACAAGGAAACTGTAGAACAACTCCAGGTAAACACCATTCATTTCCAAATAACAGTTTGAGATAAAGAAATGTACATGCATGGGCAAATCCTATTGTGCAGAACTGTGTGCACAAGGGCAGTTCTGCAAGTGATTTTCACCACCCCACAGTCACATGATCAGTTGCACAATTGGGAGGACTTGAGTACCTGGAAAATAACTCCCAGCACTTGCATGATTGTACTTACATAGTCACAAAATAAGATTCTGGGCACAAGACTTAATGGTTGTTGCAAGAAAATAAATCATTTCCCCTCTTTTCACAAGCATTCACATTGCATTATCAACATGCTATAGATTTTATTGCATTCTAGTCTTGTACCAAGAAATGGAACTCAAAGCAGGGCTGTGTTGATACAGTATGGGAATTTGCAAGTACCAGCTGGAACAGAACGGACTGGTATGAACTTGTCATCAGCATACGGTGGCATTTTGTTTCTTGGAGAAGGTTGGGCTACATTCCAGTGACATAGCAAAACTTCCCTGTTTTGTTTCGTCCTGTGTACACTGGCTGCCATTCAGCTTTATGGGGAAATTTGGGAACAACATTGCAGTAGGGTGAAAACTGTCCACTGTAAAGGGAATCTAGCTGGTTCCAGCCCCACAAGGACCCAGCCAAAATTCAGTTAAGCTCTGGAAGCTTGAATTTGATAGCAGTTTCTCTCTGCTTCCTGGGTTCAGCAAGTCTAGTAACTCCCTGTGTTTGGAAATAAAACGAGGTCTGGATTTAGGACCACATTGTCCCCACAAATCTCCCAATAAAGACACCAAATGTGGAGAAGATTTTTATTTTATTAAAGACACAGGGAAAACAGACTAAAAGTTGAGAAATACCTTTAGAAAAATAAGTCGATTTCAAATTAAACACAAAACAGTTTGGGAAACATTTGCTACAAAAAATCCAAAGCTAGCTTGCCTGTTTTACTTTTATTAGGGGAGTTCATCATAGATATCAATAGGCTTCTGAACATACACAAGAGTGAAAATCTCACCAAAAGAGTAACAGCTGACACTGGTCCACTCTTACCCTTCTGCCTCCAGCAACATTGAGAACACCCAAAAACTAAACACAAATCAAATCAATTTTTCTCAGAACCTTCTATATTCTATAATGTGAGCATTTCCCTTTAGGAAAAAGGTGGCTAAAAAAATTCCAATTAAGCTTTTTCTACCAAGAAGTCCAAGCTGACCTTGGGCCTACTTCAGTCACTGATATTAGGCATCTTCTCATGATAACTGATTTGCCATTCCACATTTATGTATGTATGTATGTATGTATGTA